TTGGCTCAGTTGGTGGAGCGTGCAACTCTGATCTCGAGGTTGTGAGTTTGAGCCCCACGTTGGGTGTAGAGATTACTTAAAAATAATAAAATCTTAAAAGAAAAAAAGGATTCCCCAGAGAAACAGAACCAAAAGGATATGTATGTAGAAAAATGAGATTTGTTAGAAGGAATTGGCTCACGTGATTATGGAGGCTGACAAGTACAAAATCTGCAGGGTGGGCTGGTGGCCTAGAGACCCAGGAGACTTGATGTTCTTTTGAGGCCACAGGCTGTCTGCTGTAGAATCAGGAAGATGGATGTTGCAGATGAAGTCTGAAGGCATTCTGCTGGAGAATTCTCTTGCTCAGGGGAGGCTGGTCTTTTTGTTCTATTCGGGCTTCAACCGATTAGAGGAGGCCCCCTCAATTATGAAGAGCAATTTGCTTTACTCAGAATCCATCAATTTAGATGTGAATCTCATTCAAAAACACCCTCACTAAAACACCCAGAATAACGTTTGACCAAATAGCTGGGCACCCTGTGGCCCAGTCAAGTTGATACATAAAATTAGCCATTATAGATACCTAGCTATCAAGGTCACTGCTTCCTGAAGCTCACAGTTGAGGCAGTGACCCAAATGATAAACAAGTGTTTCAGTTGTCTAGCACTGGGTTACAGACCATCCCAAACTTTGTGGCGCAGAACAGCGACCATTTTATTATGTGCATGTGTTTTTTTAGATCCAAAATTCACACAGGGCACAGAGGGGATGGCTTGTCTCTGCTCTGCAGAGTCTGAGACCTCAGTTGATAAGACTCAAACTACTAGGAGTTATTTAAGTGGCTGGAAGCTGAAATCATCTGGAGGCTTCTTCAGTCGTGTGTCTGGAACCTGGACTTCGATGACTCAAGCTGGGCTCATCTGGAACTGTCACCCAGAGCACACACATGAAACCTTCCATATGACTTGGGCTTCTCTTGACATCACAGCTGGCTTCCAAAAGGGAACACCCTGGACGGAATGTCTGGAGAGTGAGTGTTCCAAGACATCAGGCAGAAGCGGCAAGGCTTCTTGCAACCTAGCCCTGAAAGTCATGCAGTGTCACCTCCACTATGTTCTGTTGGTCACAGGTGATCACCAAGGACAGGCCAAACTCAAAGGAGGGGAATTAGGTACCACCTCTCGATGGGGGAGTGACAAGGTCATATTGCAGAAGACCCTTTTGGGTGAGAGATAAAGATAGATATAGAATATATAGAATATATGACTTTATATATTATATAATTTATTTGCTGCAACAAGTAAGCAAAAATCCTATATAATTAATTTAAGTAGAGCTAAACAGTAGTGGTACCGAAAATATTTAGATTGCAAATGGATGCAAGGAATCTTTTGGGGTGATGCAAACATTCTAAAATTGAATTGTGATGATGGGTGCACGATTCTGTAAATTCACTAAAAATCATTGACTGTATACTTACAGGAATTGGACACCTGTCATATATACCGTTAGCGTGCCACAAGCATTGAAGAATCAGAATAGCCATGGGTGCTGACCCTAGTGCTAGAACAGAGCCCCAGAGATCCCCTTCATGTACTGGGTAGTGGGAAGGTCTCAGGTGTCTGGGAACAGAGGTGGCCAAGATAACTGGGGGACACTCAGGGTTGCCGGGCAGTGGCTATTTACAAACTTGGATAGAAGTATTGTAGTATTTTTTTTAAGATTTTATTTATTTATTTGAGACAGAGAGAATGAGAGACAGAGAGAGACAGAGAGCATGAGAGGGAAGAGGGTCAGAGGGAGAAGCAGACCCCCCGCTGAGCAGGGAGCCCGATGCGGGACTCGATCCCAGGACTCCAGGATCATGACCTGAGCCGAAGGCAGTTGCTTAACCAACTGAGCCACCCAGGCGTCCCGAAGTATTGTAGTATTTTAACAACCAACATTGAGTGCTTTGATAAGCATAAGGCAGAGTAAAGGAACTGGAAGGACAGGCCAGGGGCAGAGGAGAAGCATTTTAATATGGTAGCAAGGGAAGCTCCTTCTGAGAAGGTGACCTTTGAACAAAACACCTGAGTGAAGTGAAAGAGGAAACCCCATGAGATCTAGAGGGAGAGAAAACCAGGAAAAAGGAAAAGCAATTATAAGGCCCTGAGGCAAAAATGAGCCAAGTTCAAGGAGGAGCAAGGAGGACAGCAAAGCTAGGTTGAAAAGAGTGAGGAGACTGCCAAATGTCTATGTCCTATAATCTAGGAGATACCCTATCCCTGCTTCAATAACACAGCAGCTGAAAGTACTGGTAGGAATAGAGATAAAGTCCACAGCACCCATGAACTTGATCGTTGGCACGCCCTTCCTGTGACCCTGATGGAGCCTGGGACTTAGCTGTACTATGGATTACAGTGGATGCGGGCACACGTATGGCCCTCAAAATAGACGTTCTGAAAGAATGGAGCTTTCCTGGGTGACGTACCACAGCGTGAGTCCTAGGGAGCCTCAGTGCAAGGCAAGGATTTCCCACCACTGTAGGGGACTCTTGATTCTCCACCTTCCCTGATGGGTTTTGGGAAGTGCGCTGCTATATTCCTTCTGTAGAACTTTCAAACACTGGTAGATGATATGAGGGAATTAAACCACATCACGGGCTTAGTGAAAGGAACCAATATTTCACATTAGATAAAGAAGGCAGAGAACGGAATTCGAGATTGACTACTGAAAATGAAAAGTGGGAAAGCAGTAGAGAAAAGGGGAAATAAGAAAGAGGGAAGTGGAAGGGTTGGGAAGGCTGGAGTAAATTTTACACCCTGACGTTGGTGGGTTATAGCCATATCCAGATAGCCTATTCAACAAAGGAGCTAGGACTGCTTAGAGGGGCGAGAAGAAAATAAAATAGGGTCTCAATTAATTCAAGATGACACAGTTGCCTTAGCCTTTGATATTGGATTAAATGATCACATAATTGTGACAGAGAACACAGACGCGGTAGATTCAAGCAAAACTAAATTGGCATATTTTTAAAAGCAATATGGCAGCTCTGAGCCTGCCACAGAATTAAAAGGAGAGATGCAAGCCCTCCTGTTGGAGAGCTGGCCTACAGCTGAAAAACATGGTCAGTTCTTTCTTTTTCTTTCTCTGCTGTCTCTGTGCTCTAATTTAGCATGAAATGGTGATTTTTTTTTTCATGAGACGGAAGAACAGACAGTGGGAAACAGAGTAAGGCTCCCTCAACCCCAAGCTATGGTTAACTCAGTAAGCCCATTCTTCTAATAAAGAAATTCAAATCTAGACACAATAGGTCTCCCCAGATTCTCCTTATGAGACAATTGATGGTTTGGATGTGATAGCCATTCCAATAAAGGCCCAAGATTTCTTGACAAATAAAAATTTTTCCAATGAAGCATAAGATGTTCCAGAATTGTTAAAACAGCTTGATTGTTTGTATCCATTTCTACGTTCAAAACCCGTATGGAAAGAATTCAGTGCTAGGAACCAGTACCAAATTTGTTTGGAAGCAAAAGTTGCAGTTTCTTTAATAATATATATGTATATGTATATATATGTGTGTGTGTGCGTATATATATAATATCCAAACAATCTAATGTAAAATATATTACCAAATATTTTTATGAATACCCAGCATTTTGTTGAAACTGTCTTTTAATGCTGCAGCGACTGGTACCACTCCAATACTGAATGTGTCGTTAGTGGAGCAAGGGGGGCAGTAGGGAAGGGAGGGAGCCTAGGGGAAATGGAGTAAATGACAGAAAGAATGACCTCAGAGGAGAGGGAGAGCAAAATGTGGGAGGGAGACCTCACAGACGGGAGAGCAAGATGAGAAAAGGAGAAGGGCCGGAAGACTGAAAATGGGAAGAGGGTGATCTTAGTAAGTTTTGCATCTTTCCCGAAAAAAAGGGGGAGGAGAGGTTAAGTAAAAGAAAAACCAGAATTTGCTAAAATGGGAACAAAATAGATACTGAAACACTGAACAAAACGCTCTAGAAGGAGAACAGGAAATCTCTGCCCAGCTGCTCCTATCTCTGCCGCGGGTACACTCAGCCCCCCTCCCAGGCCGGGGCTGGCATCTGTTTGCAAGTGGACCCTGTGCTCCTCTCCTACAAGCTGTAGCAGAAGGAGTTTTAAAAGTTCCTGTACAATCAGTTACCGGCTTGTTATCAGAGCTCAGTCTCCCCCAGGCTGTCTGTAGACAGCAGGAATTTCTCGCAGGCAATCAGAGTAACGCAGCGTCTCACAAGCCCCTGGCCAACAGAGATGCTAGGGAAGAACCTTAAGGAAAGGTGGACTGGTGCCCGTGACAGGTGCTCTCCTTTAGCAACAGCTCCTCAGCCTCCGTATGCTGTAAGGCGGTCTCCTCAGACCTTAACGGGCACGGGAGTCACCTTGGCGGTCTTGTTTAAATGCGGGTGCCGGTCAGACAGGCTGGGACAGAAATTGTGCATTGTAACAAGCCCCTGGTCACGCCAGTGCTGCTGGTGTTCAGTTCCAGAGCACACCCCGGTGACCCCTGAGTGAGTCAGGGTGTGTGTGTGTGTGTGTGAGAGAGAGAGAGAGAGAGAG